TTAATTTTTTGGATTAAAGCAAAAAATGTCGGAAAAAGTACCACATTTAAAAATAAGTTTAGATTTGTTCGAATTGGTCACCTTTGACAGGAATTATGGTCTTCAAACGGCCAAGCTGCCCGAATTTTGCTCTGAGGTATTTCGGCCAGACGAAACGCTTGCTTGACACAATAGTCCAAGGGATTGGTATCCGGAGATTTTGGTGGCCATTGTGCGCTGGAAATGAAGCGAGGAACCTCATTTTGTAACCATTCTCGGGTGGCGCGTGCTGAGTCCTGTTGGAATGTCCAAGGTCTGCGCCCAATATGTTTGCGTGTCCAAGACTTTAATACACCCTCCACAATATTTTCGCGATAATATTCAGCATTTCTTCTGATGCCATGGTCGACTAATACGAGCGGAGATCGACCATCGGCTGTTACCATAGCCGGCGCTTGACTTCTGGTGACCAACCGAAGGTGCACATTTTCAGCTGACCTCTTTGTTTGTTTACAAACTGCGGGACAACGAATCTTTTCTCATCGGAGAAAACCAAATTCGACAGTTCACCACTTTCGGCCAAACCAAGCAACTCTTTAGCTCTTTTGAGACTATTTTCTTTCTGTCGCGGTGTAAGTTCTTGCACTTTTTGAAATTGTAATGGCCTTACCCCGAGCTCAATTTTCAATATTTGCCGAATGTTATATTGCGATATGTTCAGCTCACGACACATTTTTCGGCCACTGCGACGCGTGTTTCGATCAAGTCGCTTCTTTACTTTTCGAATCATTTCTGCTGATGTTGCTGTTTTCTTCCCTCCACTTTCTTGGGGTTCCTCGCTTCATTTCCAGCGCACAATGGCCACCAAAATCTCTGGATGCCAATCGGTTGGACTATTGTGTCTGGAGTATTTTGAAAAGCAAGGTAGACACTAAAAAACTTCAAAGTGTCGATCACCTCAAGCAAGCGTTTCGCCGGGAATGGGCCAAAATTCCACAGAGCAACATTCGGTCAGCGTGTGACGGTTTTATTGGCCATTTGAAGGCCATAATTCGTGCCAAAGGGGACCAATTCGAACAAATCTAAACTTATTCCTAAATTTAATGCTATTTCCGATATTTTTTGGTTTCACTTAATAAAATTAAAAAAAAAAATGAAAAAATTATGGCGTTTGACTTTGTTGCAGTTTTTTTCTTTATCTCACCCTGTATGTTCCACCACAAAGACCCTTGATCGTTTATTTAGTTATTGCATGTGATAGGTTGCCTTCTATACTCATTGCATTACTGTGCGATTTTCTAACGAATCATCAAGAGTGAGGTAATTTTAAGAGATTTTCTATGGGTACATACCTTTAGAGATACCGACCATATGTCGTCTAGTCAGTCCTCCACAATGTTCTTCTAATGGTAAAAATCCCTAAAATCTATATTCACTATTAAAATCTATTAATACGTACATTTACTCACAAATCTTCTTCCATTTTTTGCAAATTAATTTTACATCTTTTACATTTCCGTTTTTTGATTTCCACCTTCACAAACCTCCCCCACAATGCAGCCCACACATGAACATATTTTCTCTTCGCGCTCATTGCAACAATTAATAAAATTTATGTAAATTCTTTTCTAGTTCGTTTTCATTGGCGTTGATTTCTTCCATTTTTTTTATTTTTATCAGCAACAATTGGCCAAAGCATGCAACTGTTTTTAATGTTCAAATCAAAAATTTCCTTGTTTTGTTAAATGGCGAGTTTAGTGTAGCGCGAAAAATTCAAAAAATAAAAAAAACCAAAACAAAAAAAAGAAACATGAAAAGTTAGAAACTCACGTGAAACTGAACATAAAGTGAGGTTTGCTGACGAGAGAGAGGCCGTAATAAAAAAACGGAATGGACAAAATAATAATGAAATAAAAAATCAACTTATTACACGCATATGGAACGGCTATGGAACAGCTATGAGGCGGTAACGTTGGGGGTTTCATTTTGAGTTGTTGTTTCTTTTTTGTTTTGGCGCGAAATCGTTCGGCGAAGCGTAACGGTCAATGACTTGGAAGGCAAAAAATGGAACTAAAGAGACGATATTTGATTCATCAGTGCGATTATAATATCAATTTAAATTGCCTGGACTTTTGAAGAGGAAAGACAAGCGTCTAAAATTAAGACGTCAACCACTTAATGGTCATTTTGTTCCTCTCCACACCTTTCCCCGCCTCTTTGTCTCTTGCTCTGGCTTGTCATCTAATTTAGTTGCACGTGAAATATTTTAATTTATTTAAAAAAAATGGTCATGTCACTTTGTCATGCCAAAACTGGGCTGTGCCAAATGTGTTGGCGTTCACGTGAAACAAAGGATAATCTATCCCCGGAGGTCAATGAGGAATTAAGTTAATAATTTTTAAAACGTTTATTTAATGTCTGTAGAATATTAACTTTGCATTGCAAATGAGTCATAGAATAGAGTAGGTGGAATTAATTACTAGATTCAACAGGTAAGGAGAAGTTTTTTTTCAGCGGAAACGACCTGAGGACGACATTAAGTGAATTAAGTGTGTTGTAGAATTTTTGATAGGAAGTGAGCACCGTGAGACTAAATTTATTTTTTTAATATTTACCGGAAAATGACCGCAGGTAGGAAAGTAGAACTAACAAGTAAAAAAGCAGTAAGTTCAGGCGGACTGAACTTTGAATACCCTTCACGAATTTGGAAATTTAAAAAACAAAATCGTTTAAAAATACTGAATTTAGCCATTATATTGGGGTCGATACGAAGACGTGATCATTACAATATTCAACTACGAAACTTGAAATAAAAATCCGGTGAATAATGTAGTTAACATCATGAAAATACTGAATATAGGGAGGTACCGTTATATCGGGGCTAACGAAGAACTGGACCTGCAAAGACTATTTTCCAGTACCTATAAGGGACTTCAAATACAAAATTTCAAACAATTTCGGTGAATAATGTCGCTAAAATCATTAAAAAATCGAATATTGGACGGTACCGTTATATGGTGGCTATACCAAGACCTGGACCTGCATACACAATTTTCTGTCACAGGCTGTAGTACCTATTAGGAACTTAAAAAAGGAAATTTCAAACAACTCCGGTGAATAATGTCGCTTAAATCATCAAAATACCGAATATAGAGAGGTACTGATATATGGGACTAATACGAAGAACTAGACTTTCACAGAACATTTTCTGTCATAGACTGTAGTTCCCATTACGAACTCTAAATACGAAATTTGAAACCACTTCGGTGAATGAATAATGTCGCTAAAACCATGAAAATACCGTATATTGGAAGGTAACGTTATATGAAGGTCATACGAAGACGTGGGCCTGCATACGCATTTTTTTGTCATAGGCTGTAGTTCCCATTACGAACTCTAATAACGAAATTTAAAACAACCCCGCTGAATAATGTCGCTAAAATCATCAAAATACCGAATATTGGAAGGTAGCGTTATATTAAGGCTATACAAAGACGTGGGGCTGCATACGCAATTTTTTGTCATAGGCTGTAGTACCCATTACGAATCCTAAATACGAAATTCGAAACAACTCCGGTGAATAATGTCGCTTAAATCATCAAAATACCGAATATTTGGAAGTAGATTTATATGAAGACTATATGAAGACGTGGGCCTGCATACCCAATTTTTGTCATAGGCTGTAGTACCCATTACGATTTCTAAATACTAAATGTGAAACAACTCCGGTGGATAATGTCCCTTAAATCGTCAAAATTTCGAATATCGGTGGGTACCGTTGTATGCGAGCTATGCGATATCGTGGACCCATATAGACATTTTTCTTCCAGGGGGTAAAGTGCTTAGAAAGAACTTATAGTATAGATTTTTATACAATTCATTGGAAAATGAGACTACAATCATCAAAATAGCGAATATCGGGACGTACCGAAATATGTGGGCTATACGATATCGTGGACCCATATAGCCCATCTTCGAAATTAACATGCCGGCAGACAGAATACTGATCTGTGCAAAATTGTAGCTTCCAATCATTCGTTTTGGCTCTAGCTTGATTACAATAGACGGACGGAAGGGCAGGGCTAAATCGTCTTAGAATTTTACGCTGATCAAGAATATATATATTTTTTAGGGTTTAAAATTATTATTTCGATGAGTAACAAACGGAATGACGAACTTAATATACCCTCCTTACTGTGTATGGTGGAGGGTATAAAGAGAGATTTTAAAATAGAGGACAAAAGTTCATTGATCTTCATCATTTTTTGAAATTTTCGAATATTCTATAAAATCGGTGCATATATTCATATTCGGAAATATTACTCATAACCACGAAAGGACTAATTTGGTGGGAAATTTTAATCTTTAATTTAATTCTCAAGCGTGTCACCAGAGGGGTCTTTTTGGAACGTTTGTCCTAACATTGCCTTATCCTCCCTTTAAACGGGGTTGTATAAATTCAAAGTATTCTACAAAATTATTTGTCATACCAAAAGTCTTAATTTTACCTAAACAACAAGATTTCATAAAAAACTGAAAGCAAATAAAATGCATAACTTATGTAACTCATACAGGACTTAAATACATAGGAGACTTATAGATTAGGTCTTGCAATACATATTCTATTGTCTAAATGATGTTTGCGTTCGTCAATAAAATTAGAGGTCTAATTTATGATTTAAAAAAAAAAAGGATTTTCCTTAAACCCTTTTTATGATATTTTATTTTACTTAGGTTATTTTTATCACAATTTTGTTTCTATAACATGGGCTACATTCCTTACAATAAACATTTTTTACATGCATATTAAATATTTGCACCCCTTTCATTTCTTTAATTTACACAATTTTAAAGCCCTTCACAAAACCCTTCAATTACCATAATGTTATACAAAAATCGTCAAACGCATTCCAAAAAACGCTACATTGGGCAACACTATTGTTCCCACTATCCACACTCATTCCCATTCACCTCATCGATCTGTCAAATAATTAGTTCATTCATTTCTTCATCCCGTTCGGTTGTGCATTTCAGTCATTCTACAAGAAAAATGTAAAATCATCACATAAAACTAAAGTTCTTTCAAAATATGCAGCTGCAAAGTGTTAAATAATGTGTGCTTAATTAAATTTATAAATAATAATTATAAGTTTTGCCGGAAAAAAACAACTAATTAATCAATTTTCTTATGCAAATTGCGTTGCATTGCAAAATAACGGAGTGTTGTGCATTGTTGTTGTCGTTTCATTTGTTTCGGTGCTTTGTTTTTGTGTCGCGACGACTTAACGTGTGTGTTCGTACGTGTGTGCAAAAGTGGCGTGTTGTTTGAACATGAGAGATGCACTCTCAGAGAAGCTGAGTGTGAGTTAAATAAATGCAGTATGAGAGTACGGGAGTGTGTAATTTTGTTGTTGGAGATATGAAGTGTTGAATAACGAGGCAATTTAGGCAAATTATTTACGCATTTGCAGTGGATTAAAGGTAAGAATGTTTCTTAAAAGAAAAACATTACAAAAAAACATTAAATTATTGAAACAAATGCAGGAATGTTAATTATCTGCAAAGAATTATTAATTTTACAACAACGCTAAATTATTATGAGTTTTAGTCACAATAACTTGTTGTTGTTTTCGTCGCAGTCTTATAATAACAACTTCCATTAGGGACATCTGGCAATTTAAGTAGAGGAAACAATTTATTCAAGAATTTGTATCTTCCATTTTCGTGCTCTTTGAAACAAATTGGGGGTTTATAAACTATAAATAAAAAATTACTTCTTGTTTGTAAGTCTCGGAAAATATTTAGGGTTAAAAATTGTGTTAAAAGTTTTTAATAGAATTGTGGAAACATTTTTCTTTAAAGGAAAAAAATTAAAAGTAGGCAATTTCACCAGTGTAAAATTGTAACATTAAGAGTTTTCCTGTCCCTTTCTATATTTTTATGCCTTACCGTTTGTAACTCATCGAAATAATAATTTTAGGCATAACAACGTAGAATTCGAAGACAATTTAGCTTTCTCCGTTGGTTCATCTGTTGTAGCCACACAGTCAAAAACGAAAAAAGATAAGAAACTGAAATTTTGCACAGATAAGTCTTTTGTCTGTAGGCAAGTTAAGTTCGAAGATGGGCTATATAGGTCCACGATATCGTATAGCCCCCATACATTATTCGGTATTTTGATGACTACAGCCAAATTTTCGAATGAAATTATCTGAAAATCCACACAAGGAGTTCTTTTTGAGTACATTACCCTTTGGAAGAGAATACTTTATATAGGTCCACGATATCGTATAGCCCCCATACAACGGTACCCCCCGATATTAGGTATTTTGATGATTTTAGCCACATTTTCAAATGAAATTGTCTGAAAATTAGCACAAGGAGTTCCTTCTGAGTACTTTACCCCCTGGAAGAGTATTGTCTATAGTATTTGTCAGGATATCGTATATCCCCCATACAACGATACCTCCCTATATTCGGTATTTTGATGATTTTTGCTAATTATACCCTACACCACAAGGTGGTCAGGGTATTATGTCTTTGTGCATTTGTTTGTAACAGGCAAAAGGAAACGAGATAGACCCATAGTTCCTTTTGATGATATGTATAGAATCACATTCTGAGTCGATTTATGCATGTCCGTCCGTCCGTCTGTCCATATATTTTTGTAAACAAAATACAGTTCGTATTTATTGCCCTATCCAGATGAAATTTTGCACAAATCATTTGTTTGGCCCAAGGACGAACCCTATTGAAATTGGAGATAATCGGTCGAAATGTAGATATAGCTCCCATATATATCTTCGTCCAATTTGCCTTTTATTGTGCACCAAACGTGTAATATCAGTCCGAATAGTATGGAATCAGATTGGCCTGAAAATAAGTATGCCAAATTTGATCGAAATCGGTTCAGATATAGCTATAGCTCCCATATATATTGTTCATCCGATTTGTTATTTTTGTCCTCCGCAATTTATTTGGGGAAATATATCAAATACAGCTCAGAAATTTTATCGAGATCGGTTCAGATTTGGATATAGGTCCCATATGTAACCTCAAATTTGGTGAAGACCGGTTCAGATATAGCTATAGCTCCCATATATACTGTTCATCCGATTTGTCATATTTTTTACCCACATCCGTAATATGCACTCCGTAACAACGATATTCAGGGAAATATATCAAATGCAGCTCAGAAATGTCTTTGCCAAATTTTATCGAGATCGGTTCGGATTCGGATATAGCTCCCATATATATTATTATCCGATTTCAAATTAATTGTGCACAAAATGGACAATACAAGTCCGAATTTAAAAGATACAAATGCTTCGGCATATTTAGTCTTTTAAACTTTAAATTATAATTATAATCATAGAGTGTATGATTAAATTCTTCCATAAAATCTTTTAATTGTTATGTGGAGCTCTACAAAATTAGCAAAGTGGTGTAGGGTATCATAAAGTCGGCCCCGCCCGACTTTAAGACTTTACTGGTTTTACTTGTTTTTTTCATATTTTGTTCATTGGGAGAAGAACCTCATTTCAGATTACATAAAATAAATAATCTTTGATCGAATTTGACACGTCCCCGGATAAACGGTGATGATCCTCCCATTTAGTTATATTTGCCTTTTTTGACGACCAGTAGGGACCATTTATAAGCCAATCAAACCTATTATCGTGGGATGTCAGGATCACCAATAGCCAGTCGGGACAATTTTCTCGGTTCAAGGAGGCAACGGCCATTCAGGCTTATTATCTCAAAGACAATGGACCTACAGATCTATCTTGAAGATAAATCTCAATCAGAAATATTATCAGGGTGATAAGGGGCCTTAAAATTTAATCATTGTTTTATGGGAAATAAAAATCAGTCAGTAACATGAACCAGTAGGGACTATTATTTCGAAGGTTGGAATCAATCAGACCTATTATCTTAGAAATAGGGGCCAGTCGCCAATTAAATTCCGATTTGTCGGGCCTTTTCCTAGAAGATAATGTCAGGACCAGTGGGGATCATTACTTTGATGTTAAGATCAGTGAAGCCTATTTTGATAGACATAAGGGCGAATTTTTATTCACACTTTTAAATTACTGAAATTGAAATGCTCGAGTCACCTTCAGGAGTGCTCCTGCTGGAATTCGATTAAAGTGAAAATCACTCTGGTTAGGTCTATATGTCAGAAATTGTAATATTTTCTTGCCTTGGTGGAATATTGGGCGGCGTTGGTAAGAAGATAATTTTAATTTATTGAAGGAAACCTCGGGGCTTCTAAAGACTATGGGTTTACAGAGAATATTTTTTTAAAGAAATTCTGTAGAATAATCATATTTTGAAGCACATTTGTCACCAACTAGATTTTTGACACAGATTTATTCCCCCTATAAAACGAGTGATTTTACTTCCAGTAGTGCTCCCGCTCGATTCGGAGTATATAGTAATACCTAGGTCTATTATATCGGAAATAGTAATATTTTCTTGCCTTGGTGAAATATTGGAATCAAAGTGGCGTCATTGTAAAGCGACGAATGGTGTTGTTCAGAGGTTGTTTAAAAAAAAAAATTCTGTAGAATAATCGTATTTTGAAGCCCATTTGTCACCAATTATAGTCCAATTCGATTTTTGACATAGATGTGACAAATCTATAAAAATCGGAAAATCTGAGGGTGTATATATTTTCCCTCAATTTTCGAAATTTTCCCTAAAAATCTATCAGCATTGATAATAATGGAGTATAACATCAGGAGCCATATGCAATTTTTCATAGCGATATTAATATCCAAATATTTTTATTATATATTTAAATCCAAAATTTTAAAATGACATTATTGCCAAACTTTTTACAGGACTAGCCTTTATGGGATTTCGTTGTCATTATCTTTCCAGAAACGATAACAAATCGTTTTGTCACAAAACTACACTCAACCAATTTTTCATAAAAAAATACATAACTCTATAGTTTTATGATATTTTGTAATAAAAGACCCCGTTCCTTAACAGTCATTGACTTGACAATGGCAGAAGTGCGGAAGCGCCAGTTTTTAACACCCAAATGTCCCTCAACTTGCAACGCAGGAGGAAGCGAAATAAACCGATAATTTTTTTCTTTACTTTTATGGAATGCGATTCATTTCACACCTCTAAATAATGTGGCGTTAACCGACCCACCCATCTGATGACAGATAAATAAAAATATAAGTAAATAAATATTTGTATGTTTACATTGCTATTTGTTTTGTTTCAACAATTGTTCCAAGTAATCTGAGACAAAATATAAAATGAACATAATGTCGTCTATGCTATGTTAGGCTTGTCTGTCTAGCAACGTTCCAATGTCAAAATAGTCACAGAATTTAATTAATTAAAATTTCACAACTAAAAAACAAATGGCAAACAACAGCAAAAACTAACCCCCCATAAACTTAACAATTAAACGGTCAGTGGTGGCAGTAGATGAGGAAAAGCAAATGTTTTTTTTTTCTTTGTTAGATTTTTGCTGTTATAACGGAAGTTTAAAAGTTTTATTTTTTTAATTTTGCAATAAAACAAATCATAGATGGATTGAAAAACGAATTTTTAAAATTTCTACAAAAAAGTATGATGTGTCCAATCATTTAGTTTCGAACAAAAATTCGCGTGCAAAATCTCATCGCAAATTGAAAAAAAAAAAAAAAACAAAAATTGTAACAGCCAACAAACCGTGTCAGCAATTGCTTTGTTCGTATGAAAAGCAATTAAATGTTCATATCTCCGAAAAGGAAAAATCAATAGATAAACTGAAACAGACTGGGAGAAAGAAATATGAAACTATTTCGATGTGGAATACATAGATCCATACATACCTCAAAAACAAAAAAATGAAATACTCAGCATGTGGTCTGCAATGAAGTGCACGGATGCAGTTAGCATAGCAACACGCTCGGTTCCCAAAACATGGAATTTCAATTAATTTAGGTGAATACGGTTGAACCCTTCAAAAATTTATGTGTTTTATTGAAATAACTGATTGCATAGAATGATATCGATGGCCACTAGTACGTGCCGGGATATATTTCACCTTTTAACCTCAACACACCTAAAATAGTCTGCTTAAAAAGAAACAAATAAATTTGTAATTTACTGAACAGTTTTAATTTAATTATTTAAAATTTTTTTAAGTCAAATAATAAAAGATAAGATCTTTCATCATCTTTTAAATAAAGGCAGGACCATTAAATCGCTACAGGATTGGATCACAGTTTAGGATATATAGTTCAGATTAGGGATACGTAGTCGACTTCCGATTTATAGATTTATCAACGTTTGGGTGTTTGAAAGTCTGAAAGTAGAAGTCAAGATTTGGTGAAATAGTATTCAATTTGGAGATCATTGGTTTTAGGATGGCATTCCATTCTCATACGTGCCTCCACCATAGTATGTAGGTTAAATTAAGTTTGTTATTCCGTTTGTAACATTTCGAAATACACATTTTAGACTCCAGA